CTCCACCTAAGAATTGTACTTGAATCATCTCCACCAGATCATCCCCCGCAGCTATCGCCTTTTGTATCACCTCCCCCTTCCTTTAAATTGTAAGCTCCACGAGCCGGGCCCTCCTATTCCCTCTGTACTGAAATGTATTGTAATAGTACCGCCCCCCTTATATTGTAAAGTGCTGCGCAAACTGTTGTCGCTATATAAATCCTATATAATAATAATAATCATCTGTTCACATCCGTTAATGTCCGCATCTGTTAACATCTGTTTTTTTGAACAGAAGAAAACCATATTTTTCCGCAGCATTTCCATTAAAGTCTATAGATCCAAAAACACAACTTTTTGCGTTAAAAAAAGTCCCTGACCCTTTCCAAAAAAATGCACCGGATGAAAACGTGGAGATGTGAATCTGTCCCATAGGAAATCATGTTAAATGGATTCTACTGCGTTTCTGCAAAACGCAAAGCACTGCGTACAACACATAGGTGTGCCCCTAGGGTAATACTGCTTTTATTATTAAAATATATATAAGTAACCCGACCCAACAACAGCCCTACTCAATCAGTGCCCCCCTGGCATTTCCAACTCACAATTTAAGCTCCTTATGCAAGTTACGACGGCAGCTAAGCAGGTTATAGCGAAATCCTGGAAATCCCCCACCCTAAGTGTTGCTGCCGTCAAAACCAGAATTACGCAAGCCATGATACATGCAAAGGTGGAAGCCACAATTCTAGACACGATTCCTAAATTTTTGCACATATGGAGCCCCTGGGTAGAGCGCTTCCTCCCGCCTAACTTTGATGAATCACTCCTTCTCCCTTGATTTATATACGGTGCGCCAAGGATACTGTCAATAGTCCTTCGTAGGCAACACGTAGGGTCTGCTGTAAACTTGTTGAATGCTCATGGAGTCATCGTTGTTGTTTCTCTTCCCCTACCCTCCCTTCCACCTCCGTCTGACCCCCCTCCAAACTTCCCCTTATTTCTTTAATGCACTTGGGAGACGCTACTCTGATTGGCTAGGAAAATATTGTCATCTATTGTCGACTCTTCTGTACCTGTTTTCGCCAGAAATGTATAGACATTCGTAATGTGATCCTCATTCATTTTTTCAATGTCCTACTGCCTCTTCCATGTCCAATGTATATCAACAAAGTCTCCTTGTTTGTGTCGTTACGTTTTTTTTTCTCTTTGTTAATAAAAATGTTTGAACAAGAACATATATATAAGTATTGCACTTGCAGGAGATTCAAATCAGAAGGCTGTGTACACTTGCTGGGCAGCACAACACATGCGGAACACCACTATTCGCGCGTGGTCCACCGGACAAGACGTGACGACACCAGAAACTTCTACATTTCATAGCCAATATCTGACTTGTGGCTTGTCCTGGTATTCCAAAGCATTCATTGCTCAGAAAACTCATAATAAAGTCTTATCTTATCTAATAACATCTTATCTTAAGAGTCAAGCTGATTCTGTTCAATGGAAGACTTTACCATTGGTTACTGAGCGATTACTTACCGAGTACAGATGACATATGTTCTATCTCCATGTCATACAAGGAGTCGGTGACATCGGTGAGATTGACTCTCCCTCTGTTCTTGGTGTGATACAGGATCCCAAAGGTGCAATTAGTGACCGCTTTATAAAAATCATCATATCCTTTGTTAGATATATAAAACTGTCTGACATCAGTCACAAAAACCTGAAATTGTGGGGATTTCAGCAATTTCTCCAACCATTCATAATCGTCTTTTGCAGATCTGGAGAAGATCCCAATAGTGAATGGTTCCTACAGAGATACATTTTAGGTTAAACATCAGACATGGGTCCCCGAGACTCTCTGACAAGCTTACCCATCTCTATATCTTACATCACGATATCTCACTCCCCTCCGGATCTCTAGATATTGTCCAGAGCAGAGTCCCCCCAGAGTTGCCTTGGCGAGACGGGTACCCTTTTCCATCTTATATGGTCCTGCCCCATTGTTCAGACATACTGGGCACAAATCATCAAATTTCTGCATGATCATATGGGTTCACCTTAGCAACTAAACCCCAGAGTGTGCCTATTTGGCTCCCTCCCCGATATACCCGAGGATAAATTTCTTGTTACCCTTTTACACGAAAATCTATTCAGTGCCCGTAAATTACTGGCGAACCTACAGACCTGGTTGATCGAGGTTAATTCCACTCTACCATACAAAAAACGTATTTATATGCATAGAGGATGTCCCACGAAATATAACAAAATATGGGATAGATGACTGTTTTCCCCCAATACCTAGATGGCTTGACGAGACAGGGTTGTTGGGGGAGGGGTCTTCCCCATCCCTCCCCCAAACCCGTCCTTCTACCATTTTTTCCCTGGGCTCCTGGTATTTTGATATTCACTCCATTTGTTTGACCTGATTTGCTGTTCATGCATTGTTCGTTGTTATATTCACCCCCCGGACTTGTACCCAATTTGTGACCCGGGTAATGTTTTGCGATGTACTATATGTTCTTGATGTACCATGCTGATTGTACTTCTTTTCCCTGTATTGTATACGTTTTATGTCTTATCTCTGTTTTTTCGTTCAATAAAGTTTTCTATACAATGTTAAAAAGAACATCAGACCTTCCAAACCTGAGAACAATCAGAAATGACACCGTGGTCTATTAAAGTGTGGTTGACAGAAGATACATTAGACTCCTAAGATTTTGGAAAAGTATAGGACACATAATAATGATTTAGGATGAAGGAAATTTGTAGTCTTTTAGAAAAAAAATCAGGATTTTTTTTTTCACCATTTTGAAAAAATGGATTGGGGTCAATAAGGGATGTAAGATGAAGGTGTTTTCTGTTCGTTGGTAAGAGTGCAATGGGCTTGCCATGGCTGTTGATTGTCAGAGAATATGAATGAGCTGAGTGTGCGGGGGGATTCCCCAGCTGTATAAGCAAAGGGGTGGCAATAGGGGGTGCCTAAAAATGTCAGGCCCTGGTCCTCATCAATATAGAGACCCACCCAATATTCAGGACATGGTATGGTTCGGGAGGGGGATCATACACTCACCCTCCCCTTTCCTGCATGCTCAGATGTTTTTTGGGGGGGAGGAAACCTCAGGCTCATCTTTTTTAAATTTTTTACTTAAAATTCATACTAGACCTGAAGACTCTTTGGGGTTTATTTACTAAAGCCGGAGAGTCCAAAATCAGACTCCCTTCTGCATAGAAACCAATCAGCTTCCAGGTTTCATTGCCAAAGCTTCATTGAACAAGCTGAGGTTAGAAGCTGATTGGTTTCTATGCAGAAGGGAGTCTGATTTTGGACTCTCCAGCTTTAGTAAATAAACCCCTTTGGGTCCCTGTGATGTCATTGACCAGACATGGTCATGTCCCTTCTTGGTCAATGATATTACCTGGGGTCAGTCATCCACCGGAGCTGTCAGTAGAGCACAAATAGTCACAAGGATGTTGGCGATTGGCTGTTATTTTCCTTTGGCAGGTGTTGGCATCAATCATTATGATTGAAGTGGATCTAAATCACTGGACGACCCGATGGATGTACATTGAGAGATTTCTTTTGCTATTGTTAAAGGGGGCTTCCAGATTGCGATAAATCCCCTGCAGACCCCCACAATCAGCGAGTCAGAGTTCTGAGCAAGAGGCCCTTGTCCTCATCATCATGAGATGAAGGTGCTTTGCAAAGGGGTTCCCTCCTGGTCAGGTACCCCCACACTGTGACAAGCATATGAGACAAGACTGCTATATACTGCTGATGAAAAAGGTACTTAGCAGTTTTATATTTACTAAAATAATTCAATTTCCATGTTCTGTGTACTGTGGAGAGCAGATATAGTGAATGAGGGGTCCGGGGAGAGCAGATATAGTGAATGAGGGGTCCGGGGAGAGCAGATATAGTGAATGAGGGGTCCGGTGAGAGCGGATATAGTGAATGCAGGGTCCGGGGAGACCAGATATAGCGAATGCGGGGTCCGGGGAGAGCGGATATAGTGAATGCAGGGTCCAAGGAGAGCGGATATAGTGAATGCGGGGTCCGGGGAGACCAGATATAGTGAATGCGGGGTCCGGGGAGAGCAGATATAGTGAATGCAGGGTCCAGGGAGAGCGGATATAGTGAATGCGGTGCCTGGGGAGAGCGGATATAGCGAATGCGGTGCCTGGGGAGAGCGGATATAGTGAATGCAGGGTCCGGGGAGAGTGGATATAGTGAACGCAGGGTCCGGGGAGAGCGGATATAGTGAATGCAGGGTCCGGGAAGAGCGGATATAGTGAATGCGGTGTCTGGGGAGAGCGGATATAGCGAATGCGGGGTCCGGGGAGAGCGGATATAGTGAATGCAGGGTCCGGGGAGAGCAGATATAGTGAATGCAGGGTCTGGGGAGAGCGGATATAGTGAATGCGGTGTCTGGGGAGAGCGGATATAGTGAATGCAGGGTCCGGGGAGAGCGGATATAGTGAATGCGGTGTCTGGGGAGAGCAGATATAGTGAATGCAGGGTCTGGGGAGAGCGGATATAGTGAATGCAGTGTCTGGGGAGAGCGGATATAGTGAATGCAGGGTCCGGGGAGAGCGGATATAGTGAATGCGGTGTCTGGGGAGAGCGGATATAGTGAATGCAGGGTCCGGGGAGAGCGGATATAGTGAATGCGGTGTCTGGGGAGAGCGGATATAGTGAATGCAGGGTCCGGGGGAGAGCGGATATAGTGAATGCAGGGTCCGGGGAGAGCGGATATAGTGAATGCGGGTCTGGGGAGAGCGGATATAGCGAATGCGGGGGTCCGGGGGAGAGCGGATATAGTGAATGCGGGGTCCGGGGGGAGAGCGGATATAGTGAATGCAGGGTCCGGGGAGAGCGGATATAGCGAATGCGTGGTCCAGGGAGAGCGGATATAGCGAATGTGGGGTCCGGGGAGAGCGGATATAGTGAATGCGGGGTCCGGGGAGAGCGGATATAGTGAATGCGAGGGTCCGGGGAGAGCGGATATAGTGAATGCAGGGTCCGGGGAGAGCGGATATAGTGAATGCGGGGTCCGGGGAGAGCGGATATAGTGAATGCAGGGTCCGGAGAGACCGGATATAGTGAATGCAGGGTCCGGGGAGAGCGGATATAGTGAATGCAGGGTCCGGGGGAGAGCGGGATATAGCGAATGCGTGGTCCAGGGAGAGCGGATATAGCGAATGTGGGGTCCGGGGAGAGCGGATATAGTGAATGCGGGGTCCGGGAGAGCGGATATAGTGAATGCGAGGTCGGGGGAGAGCGGGGATATAGTGAATGCAGGGTCCGGGGAGAGTGGATATAGTGAATGCGGGGTCCGGGGAGAGCGGATATAGTGAATGCAGGGTCCGGGAGGATATAGTGAATGTGGGGTCCGGATATAGTGAATGCAGGGTCCGGGGAGAGCGGATAAGTGAATGCGGGGTCCGGGGAGAGCGGATATAGTGAATGCGGGGTCCGGGGAGAGCGGATATAGTGAATGCGGGGTCCGGGGAGAGCGGATATAGTGAATGCGGGGTCCGGGGAGAGAGTGGATATAGTGAATGCGGGGTCCGGGGAGAGTGGATATAGTGAATGCGGGGTCCGGGGAGAGCGGATATAGTAACACTTTAGCTGATAGAAATAGTGATTTGAGCCAGCAGTGCTGCACAGCAGATTAGAGTCTCAGCTTAAGTCATGTCTAGGACCAATTCCCGAAGTTATGGAAGGTGATTGGAAAGCAGGGACCTAGCAGACAAATTCCTTACACTGTCTATAAATCAAATAACATTTTGCAATCCTTACCGGAGGTGGGTCAAGTCCCTCAACTGTGAGAGTAAAACAGAATGGAACTGAATTAACAAACATCATCATTTAAAGTGGCATTTATCAATTCTTTAGAAGTACAAGGCATAATAATACCATCAATCATTTTCTTTTCTATTGTACATTTTTCATAATAATAATAAACGAGCAAAACAAACGAAAAGCCAGCGATGCCATTGGCACACATAACAGATAATAGGTGACATGATGAAATGCAGAACTGCAATATTTTCCCATAACATACAGTACTAAGGTTAGCCTCATCCATCCTTTCAATGTAATTCAGATTGTCTTCTCCACTCCTCCCCAAGACACCTTGCTGTCTTATTCCCTTGTCACCTCCTCCCACGCTTGCCTCCAGGACTTCTCCAGAGCCTCTCCCATCCTCTGGAACTCCCAACCCCAGTATGTCCAGTCAGCCCCCACTCTGTTTGCCTTTAGGCAATATTTGAAACCTCACTTATTCGGGGAAGCCTACCCCACCTCCACCTAAGAACTGTACTTGAGTCACCTCCACCAGATCATCCCCCCGCAGCTATTACCTTTTGTACCAGCTCCCCCTTCCTTTAGATTGTAAGCTCCTTGAGCAAGACCCTCCTCTTCGTTCTGTGCTGAAATGTATTGTAACTGTATTGTCTCCCTTTATATTGTAAAAGTGCTGAGCAAACTGCTGGCTCTAAATAAATCCTGTATAATAATAATAATAATTAAAAGATAAATAAACAAATTAATTAAATTCCCAAAACAGCCCCCCCCCCCGCCTGCTCACACTAATGATTACTCACTTGTAAATTTTCTTTAACCCCTCCCCCTCCAGAGGATTCCCCCTCTCCTGACCAGGCCATTTTTGCGATACGGCGCTGCATTACTTTAACTGACAATTGCGCGGTCATGCAACCCTGCACCCAAATTAAATTTACATCATTTGTTTCCCTCAAATAGAGCTTTCTTTCGGTGGTATTTGATCACTTGTGTGTTTTTTTTTTTATTTTTTGCTCTATAAACAAAAAAGACCAACAATTTTGGAATAAAAAAAAACATTTTTTTGACTTTTTACTATAAAATATGTCCAGTAAAAAAATGTAAAAAGTCTAATTTTGTCATAAATTTAGGCCATACTGAATTCTGCTCCATGTCTTTGCTAAAAAAAAATCCCATACGTGTAAATTAATTGGTTTACGTCAGTGTTTCTCAACTCCAGTCCTCATGGACCCCCAACAGGTCATGTTTTCAGGATTTCCATTATTTTGCACAGGTGATTTGATCAGTTTCACTGCCTTAGTAATTACCACAGCTGTTTCATCTGAGGGAAATCCTGAAAACATGACCTGTTGGGGGTCCATGAGGACTGGAGTTGAGAAACACTGGTTTACGTGAAGGTTATAGCATCTACAAATGGCGGTACATATAGTATACTGGGATTTTTTTTTTCTTTTTTAGACTAGTAATGGCGGCAATCAGAGGGACTGCGGAGGGCATTCTGACACTGGGGTGGGAGCTGACGAACTGTCCCTGACATCCCCAGTGACACCAATACAGTGATCAGTGCTAATAAAAAGCACTGACACTGTACAATGGCACTGGGCAGGAAGGGGTTAACATTTGGGGCAATCAAAGGGTTAACTGTGTGCTGTGTGTGTTCTACTGGGGAGACATGCTGTGCAGAGAAATACAAAGCAGCATGTCCTTGTTGGCAGGAGAGAGACCTGAGGTCTCTCCCCTGTCACTAATTTCTCGGTGATGGCCGGGTGCCAGTGGGGAATCTTTGGCCGGGTTTCGGGTGATTGACATCTGTAGCCGCCAATGATGGTACAGGTAGGGCCGTGCACACGTCTGTGCCCCCCTACCCAGTAATGCAAAATCATGTATATATACGTAATTTTGCGCAGCCCTGCTGCCCTGTAGCGGTAATTTTGCTATAGGGCGGCGGGGAAGCTGTCAATGTTATTGTATATACTGTGTGTGTGGTTGCAGCTGATATATAATATTCCAGATTGCACAGTCTAGTTGTCACAGATAAATCACATGCAAATGTGAACACGCATATATAACCGTGATCGCATCACACATGTTAGGCATTGCCACACACGTCAGAGTAACAGCAACAATTGTAGCTCCAGATCTCATATGTAACTCTAAACTGGTAACCTGGAAGGGTTTTTAGAGCGCTGCCGATGGGGATTTTTAGGTCCCATTGTTTGTTTCCATTTCACAAACATGTAAAATTTTAAATCTTGACATATTTGGTATCTATTTATTTGGCGAAGCATTATCTTTTACTTTGTACCAAAAAATGGTATTGTATTGTGTTTGTGCGTACTAAAATGCATTTAAGTGTATTTTTCCTAAAAATTCGTGTTTGATAAACCACTGTGCAAATGTCATAACATAAAAAACATAAAAATTTGCAAGAACCACCATTTTATTCTTAAGGGCTTCAGCTAAATCAGGGTTTATAAGAAATTTTATAGCAAAAAAAAAAAAAAAAAAATGCTGATTTAACATATATGTGAGAAATCTCAAAATTGGCATGGACATGAAGTGGTTAATAATGAGCCCATATGGCAATGATAACCAGAACAGCGCTGGAATCTTGGTGTTCCACAATTTCACAAGTCTGTCACTTGATGAGGTGCAGCCCTCCACAGATCTGGGAATCTAGGAATTATCGAGACGAAACACAAGACGGCGCACTCTCCTCGTGCATTACTATGATGACAACTGTATTATCAGCTCCGAGGAAGGGAGGTCATCTCCCGAAATGCGTAAGTCATTCATATTGGTCACTTATGGAACAGAACCCCACTGTCTGGGACTGAAAGACCTGGTTTTATGTCTGTTTTTATGGCTTGTTTGTGAGTATCCATTTGTCATCTATTTTTTAATAAATTTGTCATCACAGTAATACACGAGGAGAGCATGCCCTTTTATGTTTCGTCTCGATAATGAGCACATATACATTGGTGCACGTACAAAAGAAGGGCACCTCCGGTTGATGCTCTGTACAGTTATCAGAAATGCAAACTGATTTTAATAACACATATTCTGTTTTAGAGTGATCCTAAAGGTTATTTTGTTTTTAATACCAAACATGTTATACTTACCTGCTCTGTGTAATGGTTTTGCACAGCAGCCCCAATCTTCTTCTTTTTTGGGTCCCTCGCTGGAAGTCCTGGCTCTTCCCTACTACCAGGTGCCCCCAGTAGCAAACCTCTTGTTAAGGGGCACTTGAGTAGGCTCGCTCCCGAGCAATGCTCCTGTGAATGCACATTGTCCATTCATACAGAGAGTGTGGCTTGGCCCCGCCCCTCATTCTGTCCTCAGTCGCTCACTGGCTGTGTCAATGGCTCACGCTGCTATGTGAGCCAATGAGGAGAGAGAGACCCGGGACAGCCAAGACTCCTGTGCACATCACTGGATTGGGATTGGGTTTAGGGGAGTATAAATTGGGATGAGGGGGTAGCTGCACCCAGAAGGCTTTTTTTTACCTTCATACATAGAACGTATAAAGGTAAAAAGTAAAAAAAAAACTTCTGCCTTTACACACAATTTAATGTTTTCATTATCTAGATTATTTATTCAATTTATTGATTTGCAATTAGCTGAACAACTTCTAGACAAAGAGAGAGTGCAATTCAGAAACTCTTACTTTTCTCATTTGTCAGATTTTGGAGCGTGTTCCATTTTTTTACAGCTTCTTGGGTGGCCTGTTGGTTCATCGTGAGATGTGTCAGATAATCCATCTCTTTCTCCATCTTCCCAAAAAGAAAAAGGTGTTTGGAAAGGCTACTGATAGGTAATTCATTGTAGAGCTTTGTAGCTTCCTTCTCTGTGCTTTTATTGTCCAGATTATCGATCACCACAATTATATTCTTCTTTTCTGCAAAATAATACGATTACAGACAGATAATTATATGGAACATTTTCAAAACAATTTAAAGATTGCTGATCCTCTGTTCCTGTTTAAAGTGTTACTAAACCCTGGACCCCGCATTCACTATATCCGCTCTCCCTGGGACTCTGCATTCACTATATCCACTCTCCCTGGACCCCGCATTCACTATATCCGGTCTCCCAGACCCAGCATTCACTATATCTGCTCTCCCTGGACCCCGCATTCAGTATATCCGTTCTCCCCGGACCCTGCATTCACTATATCCGGTCTCCCTGGACCCCGCATTCACTATATCTGCTCTCCCCGGACCCCTGCATTCACTATATCCGCTCTCCCCGGACCCCGCATTCACTATATCTGCTCTCCCCGGACCCCTGCATTCACTATATCCGCTCTCCCCGGACCCCGCATTCACTATATCTGCTCTCCCCGGACCCTGCATTCACTATATCTGCTCTCCCCGGACCCCTGCATTCACTATATCCGCTCTCCCGGACCCCGCATTCACTATATCTCCTCTCCCCGGACCCTGCATTCACTATATCCGCTCTCCCCGGACCCCGCATTCACTATATCTGCTCTCCCCGGACCCTGCATTCACTATATCCGCTCCCCGGACCCGCATTCACTATATCTTCTCTCCCCGGACCCTGCATTCACTATATCCGCTCTCCCCGGACCCTGCATTCACTATATCCGCTCTCCCGGACCCCGCATTCACTATATCTGCTCTCCCCGGACCCTGCATTCACTATATCCGCTCTCCCCGGACCCCGCATTCACTATATCCGCTCTCCCGGACCCCACATTCACTGTATCTGCTCTCCCCAGACCCCGCATTCACTATATCCGTTCTCCCCCAGACCCCGCATTCACTATATCCACTCTCCCCAGACCCCGCATTCACTATATCCGCTCTCCCCAGACCCAGCATTCACTAAATCTAGTCTCCCCTCCCTGATCCGGGGGAGAGCGGCTATAGCGAATGCTGGGTCGGGGGGGAGACCAGATACAGTGAATGCAGGATCCGGGGAGACCAGATATAGTGAATGCGGGGTCTGGGGGACCAGATATAGTGAATGCAGGCATTAGGATATATCCTGTCTATAAACCAGGGTTCTATAAATGGCTGTAACTGTGCTTTAGCGATGACGCAGCTGGTTTATCCTGGTCTTACCTAGAGTTATAAGAACATATTTAGTATAAAATAATGGAAATTTCTCCCTCAACAACCAGGAAATGAAACGTCTTCATTTCTTCATACTGGTGTAACTATGAGTAGATCCCATTGTATAGTTGGACATATACTTACCAAACGTAGACAGAAGCTTCACACTGCTGTGTAGCTGAGAACCAAATAATTTCAGGCTTTCCTTGCTATAATATAAAATGCATGCGTTGACAGACAAGGTCTGTTCTGCGATTTTCTCCAGGTCACTTCCGGTCACATTGATGGTCTCTACATCCTTCACTGTGTCCCTGAAATATGGAGACCGGAGAAGTGTCTGCAGCCAATCACTGTCGGCCTTTGGTGACCAGGACACAATGGGGACGGTCTGCTTCATTTCTTCTCTGCTCTTCTGTTCTTGTGCTTCTAGTTGTGTTTTATTGTTTAATGGATTTTCTTTCTGTGATTGTTGCTTTTTTGTCTTTTTGTCCTTGTCCTGAGTATTCGATTGTTGCTTTTTCGTTTTATCTTGTTTGTCCTGCTTCATTTGTTTCGTCATTTGTGACACTTGCTCCACTTCACCTGTTGGACCAATGAGAGATTTTCTCATCTTTTCTATTTTTACCAGCATCTCTTTTATAATGTCTTGCCTGGTGATCCAGTCCAGTTCTGCCCGTGAAAATCGAAACTGTTGAAGAGTTTTAGAAAATTGTTTTTCTTCCCACTTAGCCATCCACTCCTTTTTTTCGCCTTCCCCCCGATCACCACAATCACTTTTTTTGGTCCTAGTCGATATAAATCAAAAACAAAAATATAATTAAAATTCATGATCTCCATCTAGCAATATTTTTTTTCAAAGGGCACTGGACACTTAGAATTGATCTTTATACAGTGATCTTGCAGTAATTTAGGGTGCCGAATTACATACTGTGAGTGCTTTGTCTACAGTACTGTAATTGGAGTGTAGCACCCTCCTAGATAGGTGCTAGGTTAGGTAAATTTAGTTCTTTAGCTCTGCTATAATCAGTGGAGCTGATTGCGATTACTCTAGTCTGCTCTGAGTTTCACAGGCTGTGGGTTTGGCTGCTTTCCCCTGTTTTCTGGATGGTTCTGGACAGTAGTTCCCTGGTCTCCTCCTCCCATGCCCGCCTCCAGGATTTCTCCAGGGTGTCACCCATCCTCTGGAACTCCCTGCCCCAACCCATCAGACTATCACCTACTCTCCTCTCCTTTAGGCGCACCCTGAAAACCCATCTCTTCAGGAAAGCCTACCCCACCCCCTGCTAATTTCTGACCTCCTCCACTCTTCCTACCACTCCATCCCCCACAGCTATCTCCTCCTGTACCACCATCCCCTCCCTCCTAGATTGTAAGCTCGAAAGAGCAGGGCCCTCAAACCCCTTGTGTATCGCATTGTATTGTTACTGTACTGTCGCATGTTCTGTCTCCCTTTGTAATGTACAGCGCTGAGTGAACTGTTGGCGCTTTATAAATACTGTATAATAATACTACTAATAATAATAATAGTTAGTTGGAAGAGTCAAATCTACAATATGAATATTTATGTGGTCCTAGCCAGTCCCTGGGTCAAGGTGCCCAGATGGTAGCTAGGAGTGGGCATAAATAGTCTGAAACCTGGAGATGCCATGTTCTTCTCCAGGAGGAGACATTCCTAACCAGAAGGACTGCAGCCCTTCTAGAAAGTAGAGCCATAGATTCTGCTACTTTCATCAAGGTCCCAGCTGTGCATAGATGGGGGTCTATCCTGCTGCAAATTCTTTGGAGAAGGATTTCACCTAGGATCTGGTCTGGAGAGTCCACTAAGGAATTGTCTGCCTAACACAGGGAGGAGGCATCCCAGTAGCCAATGGCTTGTGAATACAGACTTGAGTGCAGTATCTGGGTGACTGTTGCTGCTGTTAACCCCTTGTGCACCAATACTAAGGCTTGCCTGGCCTGGAACATTGCTTCTGGTGTCCCAGTGCTGTCAATCCAATGAGCTATTGTTGAGGGGACTGTGCTAAGAAGTAGCTGCAGAGTCAAGAGTGTCCTGCTATTACGTTCGTTCTGGAGTATCCTACAGCTCCCAGCCCAATCCAAAATTATTCAGCAATAAATACTGAAAAAGGCAACCCCTAGACATTTCATTAAGCTAGAGGAGTGAATGCTGCTGTGTACCTGGCTGCTGGTGTGCTAGTGAAAGAGGAACCTGGGAAGAAAATCAGAGAGGTCCCTTTGGGGGTAAGCACTACAGGAGGGCTATTCCTTACAGGGATCTTTCATTATTTTTTTACCTAATTGTTTAAAAACACTGGCAGCTGTTGGGAAAACTCTAATTTTAACTCAATATCAAAGCCATCATTTTTTATGTCCTGGTAGTATAATTTACACCATTGTTTGATCATGAGCATCCCATAAATTTTTAAAGGTGCCTTCAGTCAGATGCTGTTGGCCAATGCATGTGAGCTGCAAAGAGCAAGACAATGAGTGGATCTAATTGCCATATCAAAGCCATCATTTTTATGTCCTGGTAGTATAATTTTGCACCATTGTTTGATCATGAGCATCCCATAAATTTTTAAAGGTGCCTTCAGTCAGATGCTGTTGGCCAATGCATGTGAGCTGCAAAGAGCAAGACAATGAGTGGATCTAATTGCCCACCATAAATGTACACTATATATATGTTTGCAATTTATAAGTAAGCAGAGTATAACAGCAAAAAAAGTCAGTATGTCACTTCCACCCCCTGCCTGCTTTTTATCGAAATGGGAAGTACAGACAAGTCCGTACCCATAGTAGGTCTATGTTTAGGTATTTGGTGTTCATTTTCTAAGGCCAAGGCCAGTGCCAATGTCAATTTCAGAAGACGTAGAAGTAATGGTGAGTATGGAGACTGCCTGGATCTTCTCAAGTGAGAAGTTGGATTTTCTTGTTTCCAAAGCTTATGTTTTGCAGAATTTAACAGTGAAAACCAGGGTGTGGATACTACAACAACTCGTTAAAGAGATGACTTGACAAGCCAAAGGGCAAGTCAAAGTTTCCCCTTCCCCATATCAGCTTCACCTTTTATTTTTCTGTTTTATTTCCTTTATATCACTTATCAGCATAGACAGCATTAGCCAGTCTCACCTTTTTTGCTGCTGCAGTAATCCAGGTAGCGTCCCATCTGGTATAGTGGTTTCTCTGAATTGGGGGAAGAGTAGAAGATGACTATCGATGATTGGTCCACTAGAGGTGTCCATTCCGTGTCTTTTGTTGGATGTGAAAGTGCCACATAAGAGCAATCACTAATCTTATTATCATTTGTCAAGCAGGCTGCCATACCAACAGGGTTCCAGCATACTTCCCATGACAGAAGCAGTGCCTTGTGACTGAGGGACAAAGAGAAACAATGGATGTTATGGAAGGCTGAATGAGACCTGTAGGAAGGGAGGCATAGGAGATGACAATATTGATCACCTTCTGAAGACATCTAGCAATGTTGAATGGAAATGTGGAACTCACAGATGCTACATTATGTAACATTAGGTTACAATGAATGTGTACTTTTTTCTCTTCAAGGTGGTGCAACAGGTTCATTTATTAGTCATGGACACCCCTTAACCACTATCTTGTTCACCCCACAGGAGGTCTGTGTGATATGCAGTCTATTCCGATATGGGGTATTATGCTACTCTCTCCCATTCATCCCACAATACTCCTCTAGACACTAATTACCAGGCCAGAGCATTATCTTATAGGGGGAAGGGAGGTCTTAAGCCTTGTGTAAGCTCCTACCAGACTGATTCAGACCACCTTGTGCATTTTATGGGTATATAGAGTGATGGTGGAGCACATGGAAGGCCAAGAACACAAGAATAGGTTCGAATTAAAGGTAGATTTTCCATTATGGGGAATATTTAACACTCATAAACATGTGTTGTAAAACTAACTGCCCTTGTACCAATCCAAACATTAGGATTTTATTTAATTATAAAGACTAGTCACAAACAGGTAACAATGTTGCCCCCCCCACCCCCCACAAATTCTCTTTTTTAAATGACCTTGCTTGCTATAAGGAAGAAAGAAAGACATTTTTATGGTTCTTGTGGTGTTATTAGCACTACTTTATGGCCAAAAGGAAAATAATTACTTGAGGTGGCATTTGTACTTTACTCCTTGTAAATACCAACCAATTTATCTGTATTACTTCCTTATACAGAATCCAGCCAAGATTAACACAATTATGGAACATGAATAAAATTATCCACAGTCATATGAAGGGAATGTGTTTTTCTTGGTCATATAGAGCAGTGGTCTCCAAACTGCGGCTCAAGGGCCAGATGCGGCCCTTTGTGAGCCTTGGGGCACTATTCCTCCCACTGACACTAACAGTGGGACATAATTCCTATCACTGATACTAATGATGGGGCCTTGTTTCTCTCACTAATATCAATGATGGGACACTATTCCTCCCACTAGTATCAATAATAGGTCACTATTCCTCCCACTAGTATCAATGATAGGTCACTATCAGGGGCGGACTGAACAACTCATGGGGCCCCCCGGGCAATAGGGGATCATGGGGCCCCTGTGTCCATGCCCAAACTCAAAAAAGCCTATGAAAAAGGTACCAGGGGCATCTCATGGGGCCCCCTACTGACCCTGGGCCCTCGGGCAGTGCCTGAGTTTCCAAATGGTCAGTCCGCCCCCGGTCTCTATTCATCCCACTAGTATCAATGATAGGTCACTATTCCTCCCACTAGTATCAATGATAGG